GTCCCGTGTGGAACAGAGTGGGACAGCGTGAGATTTCATCACACTACTCAGAATGGTGTGCAACTTAAAACTTATTAATTATTTTCTTCTGGAATTTTCCATTTAATATTTTTCAGACAGAGGTTGACTGAAACTGAGTGTAACTGAAACTGAGGAAAGTGAAACTGCCAATAAGGGGGGACTCCTGTATACTGTTTTAAAAGCAAAGGGATTCCTTCCCCTGAAAGGTTTGCTCATGTAGCAAATGCTTTGATTTTTATACCTCATCATTGTCAGCATCTTAACTGAGCTAACCAAGGCCCCCAAAGTTAAGCTATATCAGCACATTAATCATAACACCTGCATAGAACACACACACACACACACACACACACACACAATTTCAGTTCCATGAGGGCCGTGATGGTTATCTATGTTATTCACTGATGTGTCCCTGGCACCCAGACCAGGTCTAGAAAACACATGATCGGTGCCAACAAATACCTCATTTGTCAAGGAGCCTTTGTGAATCCTTCCCCAGCAGACAAGCTGACCATTTCAGTCACTATAAATGACAACTGAAGTAGCCATTAGGCCTGGAATTCTTAACCTAATTTTGCACGCTGGGCCCTCTTGGCTGTCTGATGAAGCCTATGGACTCCTTCTCAGAAAAAATGGTTTTAAATGAATAAAGTAAAATACAGTAAAACCGTGAATTGCGAGTAATATGGTTTGCAAGTGTTCCCCAAGACGAGCAAACATTTCTAATGCATTTTAACATGCTAAACAAGTGATGTCTTGCAATACAAGTAGTTTGTTTCCAGAATGAATTATGCTCGTAAACCAAGGTATTACTGTACTTTGGCTTACAAAGGAGACCAATGAAAGTATAGTTATCAATTTAAAAAATTTTTATAGTTATAATGCATTAAATAACAAGATCTTGTGAAGGTCTAATCACTACTGTAATTTCAAAGTAAGGAGTAGAAATGATTTTTTGATATATCTCCAACAAGTGTAATGTGGTAATTTCTACTGATGACAGAGTTCCTGTGTATATTACAGTGATGTGGTGCCTACGTTCATTTGAAGGAAATGCCACATTTCATTTGAGGTTAGTAAAAACAAAAGGGATAATTTTTTTCCATCCAAGTTCATGGATTCCGAGTCTCCCTCACCTCCCAAAATGATAATGCCCTGAGTCATTTGCTGGGCAGGGGAGTGGGGGGAAATCCCTGCATAGCATACTCTGAATTCAAAATAAACTGACACAGAAAACTGTGGCTATCAGGTTTAAAACCTCTGCATCTGTCCCTTTGGATCTTTCTTGAACTTGTATGACAGGTTAAATTGGAATAATACATGTGTTAAGAATTATGCTAGGAAGGTGTCAGTAATAATACCTTTTATGGGGCATTTCCAGTGTTCCAGGCAATGTGCTAAGGGCTTAAAGGAATCCTCAAATAATTTCGCAAGGGTGAGCAAGTGAGCTCCATTTTCAGATGAAAACAAGAGCACAGAAAAGCCCAATAGTTTGGCTAGTATTGCAGGTAGGCAGATAGCAAAGTGTTTTTAACCAGCTTTCATGCTGCTGTGTCAAAATTACCTGGGGAGCATGGTAAAACCGCAGATTCTAGGGTCTCACCACAGAGATTCTCAATCTCATAGTCTGGGATGATGCCCTAGAACTGGTGTATTTTCAGTGGCTCCTGGGATCATTCTTGTGCAGGCTGCTTGCAAATTGCACTTCGATGCACAGTGATTTAAAGATGTGTCTGCCTGGTTCTTGGGTGTTTGTGCCCAGTGCCAGTTTGGACTCCCCTCTGGGTAAGCATGCAGGCAGCACGTGTCCACCAGATGCTGCACGGCATTCCTACCATCTTTCTTCCTGTTTCTCCACCTTTCTCTGATGTCTCCCACACCCAGCGGCTTTGACAAGTCTTTCTTAACAAAAGGACTGGATAATTGGCAAGAGGAGAGTGGTTATAGTTTAGAGAGCTTTCTCAGGCTGGGGAACAGTTTCCCTGCCCCCAGAGTAGGGTTCACTGGGAGCTATTTCCCAAGGATGGGGGAACCCTGTAAAGAGCACAGCCAGAATTTAAATCAAGCTCACCCTCCCCTCCCACCTCTCACGAGGAAATCTGCATAAGGTTCATCCTGACTGTTATTTTCAGGCAGGCAGAGCAGCTACCAGACCCAACATCCTTTTGTGCCTTCAAGGCATTTGTGTTTAAAACTCCAGTAAAAAAGAAAAATGACAGTCAAAAGGGGTAATTGAGCATCTGTGGTTTGTCTGTTTTCTCTCCCATCTCTGAGCTTGGGGAGCAATGCAGATAGATGAGCCACCGCCTCAGCTTGTTCCTGGTCTACAGCGGCAGCTGTGAAATGCAAAACAATGACAATAGCCATGAAAGGAGCCCAGGGCTGAGGCCCAGGGCTGAGTCAGTTCCTCTGGACACCTTCCCTTCTCCACCCAGAGACCACGGCCCCTGCACTAATTGGGAAGCTCCTTTTATTTGGCTTAGTTGGTAATGAAAATAAAGACAGGGCTGAGAGAAATTAGGCAAGGTTCACATAAATTAGGCTGAGTGTGAGACCAAATTTTAGGACATCTAGCCAGATAAAGATGATGTGATTAATAATAACAACAGCAGCCACGTAATATGGCCTTTTATACACATTGCATATCACAGGTAGAAAAATTACTCTTAATTTTGAGAATTAAGAAATTTGGATTTAGTCAGCTTAGACACAGGGTTGTGGCCACATGACAACATCTTGAAAATAGCCAGGACTCTATATTCTTTTTAGAGCACCCTGTGTATGTGTGTTGTTTGTTTTCTTGTCAGTCCTCCCCCTATAGACTCAAGTTTACTACTGTATAGCCATCATTCAGCCTGCCCTCAGTAGGTGCTCAAAAACTGTTAGTTGAACAAATGAATGAATGACAATTCCAAAACGAATAAGAGTCTTATGTTTTGTGAAACTAAATTTAAAAAACACAAACACAAATTTACTTTTGGGAAAGCAAATGAAGTAAATGGAGTTTTCAGATGTATGACTCAAAAAGTTCTCAAAACTTGTCTGAAGGGGTTACAGAAATGCTAAATCTAAGTGTACATTTCTCCCCGCCCCTGCCCCTCGCCCCCAATCTTTGGATGGTTCTAAATAAATATGAAGTTTAAAAAAAAATACCCAAGATGCTAAAAAAGGAAAGGGCTTGCCAAGTTTGGAGCACAGGGTAAGCTGATCACAGGTGCTAGTAAACTGTGAGGGGATATCCACCAGGACCAAAGCATCTCCTTTTCTTTGTGCAATGTGCAGCTTTTATGAGGAACCAGGGCTTTTTCCTCACTGGAACCAGACAAACTCTGAAGAGAGATCATGCCCCGGGCAGGGGGTGGGGGTGGGGAGGACTGAGGTGGATTGAGTCGCAAACAAATGATAAAAGAACAGCCTTGATCAGGCTGATATTTATCAAGATTTTATGGGATAATGAACTTCTAAGGGTGCACTACTGCCAGCAGTTGAAGACTTGGAGAGATGAACTCATGAGCTGCCTCTGACATAGTGGAGATTGGTTGTATGGAGAGGGTGGATTTCCACTTTCACACCAGAGAAAAGGATTTCCCTTGCCCCCACACAGATCTTCCGAAAAATGATTTAGAAAGTGAATGAGATTCAAACAACGTACATTTTTCTAGGAAGTTTCAGTAAATTACATTTTACTTCAAATAAAACTCAACCTAGGCTACCATGCTCAGTCTAGCTTTTTAAACCAAAATGAAATGCCAAACTCAAGACCAAGAAGCAACAGAAGCAGTATCAGACTAATGGTTCAAGAGCTCCCATTATTAAAACGACTTATATTTGCCAAAATAGATCCATGTTTTTTCACCTGGAAAGGCCAATGTGCCCCTCATTGCTCTCCTGCCCTTTCTTTGCTTTTCCTCTTGCAGAATTGAAAAACCCATCTTATCATTCCCCTCTCTCCTCTGGATGCCAAAGAAAACATTAAAGTCGTGTTTCCTTGTTTCAAGAAAGCAGCCAAACTTTAGACAGTAGTGTGTTTTAATTCATTCTGAAAAACAAACTCACATGGATTGATTGATTCTTCAGGTCCCCATACTTGGACCTAGCACGCTATGAAGTCCAAACAACTCTGCATAGTTACATTAACGGTTCTTGTGCTGCGAAGTCACTGGGTGCAGGGAGCAGTGAAACATTCCCAAGACAATCACTAGACATGCAGAATGCCAGCCAGAAGCATGGATCACTTTCAGGGGTCTTGCTGCAGGGAGCATGAGGCTGTGTTTTGTGTGTATTGACAACTATATAGGGTAAGCCAGCTGTGTTCAAGGGAGCAAAGTACCCCTTATTCCTCTGAACCTAAAGGGTGTCTTCCCAAAAGAAGTATATTTCCAATCCCTAGAATTTGGGGCCAGAGACTCCTCTGAGTTGTTTGTGCTGCTCCATGGAGAGTCAAAGCCAAGCCACCATGAGTGTGAAAGCTGGCTGTTCCCCTCTGTCTTCATTTCCCAGCATGGAGAGAACAACTGCCATTCACCCCATGAATCCAAAAGAATCCCCCCATCCCTGGGTTTAAGCATGGATGCCGGCCAAGCAAGCCTTGGATACCCAGGACTGTTGGAGTGTAGCTATGTTGGTATATCCCATGTTTAAGGTGGTAAAGTGCTTTTGTTTCTCTACCTGATCCAGCTGGGGGAGACGGGCTGGGGGCGCTGCTTGCCTAATGGCCCCTAGCCCATGTGCTTATATTGGGACCGGTCCCTAGGGATCTGCACCTGATTGGCAGTCACTTTGTGGTGGATGTGGTAAATCGCCAGTGTTACCACAATGACGAGACCCAGGATGAGCCCCAAAATCAGAGGCAAGGTTTCCTCCAACTGCTCCCGCTCATCCACTGGGCATTTATGCTCTGAAATGAGAAAGAAGAAGAAAAGCAGTGAGCTCCTGTTACAATATTCTAAATCACAAGTTCTCCTATCAAAACTAAAAGGAAAATAGGGATGAAAAGCTCTCTCAAAGAACCTTTAGGAAAATATTTTTTGTTTTCCAGAAACAATATTTCCTCAACCAACCCTAAGGCTGAACCACTTAATATTTTTGCATAATGTAAAATAACAATACATCAGTTAAAAAAGACAACATTCAATGATCAGATTCCTGGCAGATATCAACAAAACTTCCAGGTGATTTACTTAAATTTTCAGAGTTTCAGCATTAGACACAACCATCATAATTTTTTATGTTGGTTAATTCCAATTATTTTTTTCAAGATTTTATTGGGGAATTGGGGGAGGGGAACAGCACTGGGGAATCGGTGAAGGGGAACAGACAAGTTGCTGTCCTTTTGTTCTTCAGTCTCGTTGTGGAGGATGTTGCTTTACTAGCCCAAGCTGGCACCATCATTGCACTCTTCCAGGATGAGGCAGATCAGTCGCCAGCCTCTGGACGGCCGCTCACGGCAGCTGCTGGCTACACATGGTAGCTTATGGCAGCCCACTGCAGCAGGGGCTGCAGCCTACACCGTCGCCAGCGACCCACGGCAGCCCAGTCCCAGGTCGAGCTGCCGTTCACCATCTTAGCTGTAGAGGGCAGTATCACTGGCCCTCATATGTGGGATCCGAACCGGGGCTCTCTGGTGTCCCAAGCCAGTTCTTAACCAACATGCCACTCGGCCAGCACCCCCAACTTTTTTTATTGAAGCATGATGTACACATAGAGATTTGCACACAAATATACAGTTTAGAAAAGTTTGAAAATACCAAGTATTGGAATGATATACAGCAATTGGAACTCCCATATATCATTGTGAGAAAATGATATAAACACTTGGTATAACTATTTAGTGATCTCTAATAAACACACCTACCTTATAACCCAGCATTCCATGCCTAGGTATTTACTTAAGAATAATGAAAACATATGAACACAAAAAGACTTGAATGTAAATGTTCATAGAAGCTTTATTCATAATAGCCTAAAACTGGCAAAAACCAAAATGTTCATCAAAGTGAAATAGATAGATAAGCTGATATATTCATACAATGGAGCAGTAATCAACAACAACAGCAACAAAAAAAGGGGGGAATGAACAATGGCTACACCTAACAAAATGGATGAATCTCAAAAACATGTTGAATGAAAAATGTCAGACACAAAAGAGTACATATTGTATGAATCCATGACATTCAAGAACAGATAAAACTAAGTCTATGGTGATTGAAATCAGAAAAGTGCTTACATCTGGGGAATAGGACACAAGAGCACTTTCAGGTGTGATGGAAATATAGTACCGTATTTCCCCATGTATAAGACACACCCTTTTTTGAAAAATTAGGGGTCTAAAAACTGGGTGCGTCTTATACAGTGGTTGTAGATTTCAAATGCCATAGATGGAACTGAGGACGAGGCAATCTATGAAGACAGTGATTCGTTATCAGACACAGATGAGGACGAGATAATGGTTGGGAGTTTTGACAGTGATGAGGAGTTGTATGAATTTTATGATGAATAAAATTTGAGTTCAATAACTTTATGTAATACTTTTTTTTTTCAAATTTCGGGCCCCAAAATTAAGGTGTGTCTTATACGTGGGGAAATACAGTATATCTTGATCCAGGTGGTTACATGTTTGCAAGTATAGGTAAAACCGCATTCGGCTAAATACTTTAGATTTGTACATTTTAATATATGTAAATATACAAAAATTTTTAAAAGAAAGTGCAGAGCTTGGTGAATTTTCACAAATGAATACTTCATGTAACTGGCACCTAGATCAAGAAAGAAAATGTTACCAGCGCTACAAGGTTGATTCAATTTTTACCCTCTTAAAATTCAAGACAGTTTAATAGGCCTATGTCTCCATTTCACATAGAACCAGAAAAACATGTTTTGGGAAATCTGTGGCCAGATACTTTGTAGAGCTGACCAGAACTGCATTGTTAGAAACCCGGCCATGTTTGCTCAAGCTCCTTTGCTTTTTGTGGGTAACTAGTGGCCTTTCCACCAAATTTATGAGCCACAACTGGAGAAAACAGGCTTTAGATAGCTTTTCACAAAGACCAAGTCCTTAAGTCCAAAGGACCCAGCAAACATTTATTGGGCACCTGTGTGCCAGTCTCCCTACAGAATCCCTCTTGACATTGGTCCTCCCTCTAACCTCGCCTGAGACGAACAGAAAGGAGGATAAGGCCTGAGCTTCAATAGTCTCTCTCTAACAAGAATCTGGAAAATTGCAGGCAAATATGCAGCTTTTAAAAAGCAGTATACTTAACATGCCTGGTTCCTAAATTAACTGCCAGTTCTAAGCACAAAGATTGTTGCATTTAATCCCCATAATAATTCCATGAGCTAAATACTATTATTATACCCATTTTACATATACGGTTACCAAGGCAGAAAAAAACTAAGGAATTTTCCCAGAGGTAAATGATGCCCCAACCTGAAATCAAATAGTCTAACTCAACAGCACTGTCAGGACATCACTTAGCAGACAGAACTAGGGTGAGAGTTAGGGTCAAGTCCCTAGCAGACCTGAGTTACTGGCATTCAAAGGCTGCCGAATCTCAGAGCGGGCAAGAACAAGGGCTTCTGGGCTCTGTAGATCTGTGTGCTGGTCATGGAGGTACATTCAGTTTCTGAAAATTCGGGGAGCTGGATATTTCTTACTAGGAGATATGAGGATACTTTGTGGGCGATAGATACGTTGATTTTTTGGATTGTGGTAATGGCTTCATAGGTCTAAGTCAATATTTATCAAATTATACACTTAAATATGTACAGTTTATTGCATGTCAATTATACCTGAATAAAAGTGTTTAATATATAGATATATAGATATATATAGAGAGAGATATACTGAAAAATTATTTTTAATAGGTTTTTAAAACAATATTTTGGCAAATGCTAGGGAAGTTTTAAGGACCTATTAGCACTAAACTGAGCTTTTCTTATTACAACCAGAAGAACTGGAAAGAATCAGTAGGGGACTTGTGGAAACCTCCAATCTATAGCAGGTAGGTCAGACACCCAGGTGACAACTTTGACTTGTGATTAGTGTCTAAAGTGGGGAGGAGGGCAGTTTCATAGGACTGAACCCTTAACCTGAGGGGATAGTATCTCCAGGTAGATAGTGTCAGAATTGAGTTGAACTGTAGGACACCCAGCTGGTGGTTGGGAAAAAGACTTTATATCGGAATTGGTGTCAGAATCTAGTGCCAAAAGTATTATCCTTAAATGGATAATAACTCTGGTGTAGTTATGGGAAATAATATCTCATAACTCATTCTTGAAGGAAGACGGAGGAAAGCACACTGTATACACACCAGGGGGGGTGCCAAAAAAATTGTATACAAGTGGACACTTTGGTCAACGTTGCTCAGGCAGTAGTTCCCCGTAATCAGAAGTGTCTGGACGCTGATGGTAACCACTTTGAGCACCTCTTGTAATTGCAGAAGTCAGACGTGACTTGTATTCATCTTTTGCTATTGGTATATATTCAATATTACAATTTTAATACAGCTTTCCTTTCTCAAAATGTGTATGCATTTTTTTGGCACCCTCTGTATGTGTAAAATACTATTGTGTTTTATTTCTTAACAATTTTTTTGTTGTTGTTGCCTTAGGAAAAAACCTGAACTAAGCACACCACAGATAGGGGTATATAAAAGGAGTATTAAACTATGGACATGTCAAAGATAATCACAGAAAATAAGGGATGTCAAAAATCACCATGAAAAATGCTGACTCCCCATCCTCTCCACCCTCTTCCACTAAGTGGTCAGGTGAAGGAGAATTCCTGACTCTGCTATCCTTTTTCCACCCTCCCCAAATCCACAAAGTTCTGGAAACCAAAAGCACATTGTATCATTCCTTTGGCAGCAAAACCTGATTTTAACATTAGGCTAATCCTGATTCTCATGATTCACACTTAGTGTGAAGATTCAAATGTTTCACTGCAGGAAAAAGATACTAATATATCTGATTCCCGGAGGCTGCTGTGACTCTCCTGGGGTCTTCCATAATAACAATAACAGTAGTCACCCCTTATCCATGCGGGATATGTTCCAAGACCCCCAGGGAATGCCTTAAACTGTGGAGAATATTGAACCCTATATATATACTATGTTTTTCCTATATAGACATGCCTACGATAAAGTGTGATTTATAAATTAGGCACCGTAAGAGAGTAACAACAATAACTAAAATAGAACAGAAAAATTATAGCAACATACTGGAGTAAAAGTTGATGAATGTGATCTCTCTCTCTCTCAAAATAGATTATTGTAATGTACTCACCCTTCTTCTTCATGTGATGTAAGATGATACAATGCCTACGTGAACAGATGCAGTGAAGTGAATGATGTAGGCATTGTGACGTGGCGTTAGGCTACTAGAAAGGTCACTTAAACACAATACCGTGACGGTCAATCTGATAACCTAAGTGACTAACAGGCGGCTATATATACAGTGTGGATACGCTGGACAAAGGGATGATTCACATCCCAAGAGGCATGAAGTGGGACAGTGCGATATTTCATCATGCTGCTCAGAATGTCACACAATTTAAAACCTATGAATTGTTTATTTCTGGAATTTTCCATATAATATTTTCAGACCATGGTTGACTGCAGATAACTGAAACCATGGACAGTGAAACCCCAGATAAGAGGGGACTACTGTTTATGAACTATGCACTTCCCAAAGTCTATAATATTTGCATTCTGAAAAACATCAGGAGTTTTGGGTGAGAGATTGTCAACCCATGAAGAAAGACACACATTCATTCCCATTTTATGTTGAAGCCAGTGTTTTAAAACTGCCTCTGATCCAGAGGAAAAAAAAATTACATTACAACTTGGAACATATGTATACACACATAACTAAAACCAACATTTTATTAAAACAATAGTT